CAAATATTCAATTTTTAGATGACTTTTCAGTGATTTTTGAATCAATTAAAGAAAGTAGAGTGATTGAGATATGAGAAAAGGAATCAACGGATGATTTCAATATTGAAGTTGAGGAGGACCCAAACTTCAATCCATTATTTCCTAATTAGTTGACCAGTTAGTAGAGGTCACTGTTGCTCAATTATACCACTGAAAGTGATCCAATGTACGCACTAAGAGGCATGGCCACAAGTGGCACAATGAATATTAGGATAACATTCATTACGGCATGGCAATAGGGTCTTCGTACCTGACATGTCACGTTCAGAAGTCTCGTGACGTGTTGAGCGGTTTGATGGGGGATGGAATAAAACTATGGAGTCTAAAGTCTCAAAAACTGAAACTATTGCTTTCAGTTTGTTGAGCGTCGGGCGACCGAGGATAATGTTGTAGGCCGAGGGCAAGTCAACTATCATGAAGGTAGTCATTGTCGTCTTTGCTCTGTGTTCTTCCCCGATGGTAACGGGGAGGACGGTAGTACCGAGTGGAGAGATGGAATCCCCAATGAATCCAATGAGTGTCAAGTCATAGGAGTGAGGTCCTCATTAGTGAGGCTGAGTTTCTTGAAAGCGTCGAGGTATAGGACATCAACAAAGCTCCCAGTATCAACCATTACTCTTTTGACCCAAGCATTAGCGATCCGGATGGAGATCACCATAGCATCGTGGTGGTGGGATCGCTCGACCTCCTCGGTTCTGAAAGTGATTTCAGGCTCGAACTCAGGTCAATGGCATTTTTCCACCGTGCTACGGGCGTAGGCCTTCCTTGCTGTTGAACTGCTGTCACCGGTAGCTGGTCCAACGGTAATGACGTCGATCTGCCTCTCAACAGGACCCTTGGGGCATGAAGTGACTTCTGGTTCCTTAAGGTAGTGCCCGAGGTGACCTCTTCGGATCAGTTCCTCGATTTGATTTTGGAGATCGTGGTAGTCTTCCATGTCATGGTTGTAGTCCCAATGAAACTTGCAATATTTAGATCGATCCTTGTGAGTAGTCTTCAAAGGATTGGGTTGTCGTAAGAGACCTTTCTCCCTGATTTGGAGAAAGATCTCGGTACTAGACGTGTTCAGAGGCAGAGGCAGGGTCCTCGGGAGTGGTGGCTTGGGTTGGTCGGGCCGCTTACGAGGCTGCGCTGATGGTGCCGAAGCTGATCCTCGGGCTTGCTCCATCCTCGGCCTCTTATTATCCTCGCACCTCCTTGCCATTAGGGCTTCAGCGGTGATGTACTGGTTGGCACATTGTAGCATCTCGGGGATGGTCGCGGGTGGCTTCTCAATTAGTGACCATAAGAACCTCGAGGGTCTCAAGCCCATCAAAAACACCTGCATGATCAAAGAAGGGTGAGCATCTGTGAATCCTTGAATTTCAATGGCAAAACGTGCCACAAATTGGGAGAGTGATTCATCCTCGCATTGGGACAACACGAGCAGGGTGGATATAATAGTCATTATTAATCAATTGAAGGTTGAAAAAATTGAACTTCCTGAACTTTTTTAAGTAGGGGCTATAATAGTCAAGTTGTCTTTATTTTGGAAAGAGTATAGGAAGAAAATTTTGCATGACTCTAAGGATATCACTTTGGAGCAAATTCAAAAATATTTTCGAATCAAGGAGTAATCGAGGATGAGAAACTAAAGTGAGAACTCTTTTGGCAATATAAAGACAAATGTTATGAATCAGCTTAAGAATTCTAACAAAAGCAAGCAAAACAAGGAGAATCATTTTGTCCCCAAAAGGGATCAAAGAAAATTTAAAAAGCTAAAGAGTGGAGGCTATTTTGTTTGTGGAAAACCTGGTCATTTTGCTAGGGATTACAAATTTAAGAAAAGTTAGAAACCAAAAGTCAACTTCGTTGAGGGAGATGATAATATAATCACGACGGTGAGCGAAGTGAATGTCATATTGGTAAGGTTTCTAGTTGGTGGTATGATACTTATGCTACTGTCTATGTTTGCTTTGATAAGGTACTCTTCAAGACTTACAAAGAAGTCACAGAAGGGCAAGAGATTCAAATAGGAAATAAAGTTCATTCTAAGGTGATTGGCAAGGGAAATGTGGAACTCACTTTCATTTCAGAAAAAAAAGTCATTCTTACTAATGTTATTCATGTACTAGATAGGAGTAGAAATTTAGTGACTGAGAATCTCCTTGGAAAACTTAGAATTATAATTTATATTTGAATCCGAGAAGTTAATTTACCTCGTAATGAAACTTTTGTTAGAAAAGACTATTTCGCTGAGGGAATTATCAAATTATCTATTTTGATAATGATTTTAAATTTAATAAAGATATTATTTCTATTTATATTGTTGATTCTTATTCATTATGGTATGATAGATTAGCATATATTGGAACTAGCACCATTAAAAGAATGATTAAGTATGACTTAATAAATTATCATTTTGACGATCTTAATAACTATGAAATTTGTGTTAAGTCAAAGACGACAAAGAAACACTTCAAAAGTATTGAAATGTATATTAATTTGTTAGACTTAATATATTTTAATATATGTGAATTAAATATCATATTAAATAGAGGAGGCAATAGATATTTCTTTTATAGATGATATGTTTAGGTTCACATATGTTTACTTATTGAAAAATAAAAATAATATTTTTAATGCTTTTAAAGCTTATAAAGCAGAAGTTAAAAATTAATTAGGTAAGAAAATTAAAGTTTTAAGAAGTGATAGAGGAGGAGAATACTTTTCTAATGAATTTAACTTATTTTGTGAACAATATGACATAATTCATGAATGTTTAGTACCTAGAATACCTGACCAAAATGGATTAATAGAAAGAAAAAATAAAATTTATCTAGAGATAATTAATGTTATATTGTTGCATGTTAAATTATCTTATAATTTGTGGGGAGAAACTTTATTGGTTGTATATCATATTTTAAATAGAATTTTCTCTAAAAAGAATAAGATCTCTCCATATGAGTTATGGAAAGGAAGACAACCTAACATTGGTTATTTTAAAGTGTGGGGATATCTTGCATATTGTAAGAATAATGATCCTCAAAAGATAAAGTTGGGACCTAGAGGAATCAAATGTGCATTTATAGGCTATGTCTTAAATAGCAAAGCTTATAGACTTCTTAATTTAGAGTCTGATATCATATAGAATCTTGAGATGTAGAGTTCTTTGAACACTTAATAACTTCAAGTAACAATGTTTTTCCTCTAACTAATGAAGAGTCACCAGTGGAGACATCTCAAAAGCTTGATGAGCAACCTAATATTTCTTTGATTGGACATTAATCAAGTTCATAAGAGGTTGGAGAGCAATTTCATGAATTAAAGATAAGCACTCGTGTACGGAAAGCAAAAACATTAAGATCTGAAGAGATTGATTCTCAAAGTATTTCGTTTTACCTTATAGAAGGAATTAATGAGAGAGTCTTAAATTAGAATTCCTCTTGTTTTATAAGTGGAAGACGATCATAAAACATTTAAAGATGCTATGGTCTCTCATGATGCTGCTTTTTGAAAAGATGCTATTAATGATGAGATGGATTCTATTATGTTAAGCCACACTTGGAACTTGTCGATTTACCTTTTGCCTCTAAACCTATTAGTTGCAAATGAGTATTTTGTAGGAAGCATTATACAAATGGTACTCTCTAAACATTCAAAGTAAGGTTAGTTGTTAAAGGATTTCGACAGAAGGAAGGAATAGATTATTTTGACACATAAGCTCCTGTGACTAGGATCACATCTATTAGAATTATTTTTGCTTTAGCATCAATTTTTTATTTTTATGTTCATCAAATGGGTGTCAAAATGATATTTCTAAATGGAGACCTCGATGAAGAGGTATATATAGAATAATTCAAAGTTTTTGTTCTACCGAAAAATGAATATAAAGTGTGTAAATTTATTAAGTCATTATATGATTTAAAGCAAGCTCCAAAACAGTGGCATGAGAAATTTGATACAATAATTCTTTCTAATGGATTTATTCATAATATTGTAGATAAATGTGTTTATCTCAAAACTTATGATAACTATATGATGATAGTTTGCATTTATGTTAATGATATGCTAATAGTGAGCAACGACATGAAAGGTATTATAGAAATAAAGAGGTTTCTATCTTCAACATTTAAGATGAAAGTTCTTGGATAAGTTGATACCATTTTAGGTATCGAGATAAAAAAAAATAGTGGGGGATATGTTTTGAGTCAAACTTATTATATAGAGAACCATTCTAGGTATCGAGATAAAAAAAAATAGTGGGGGATATGTTTTGAGTCAAACTCATTATATAGAGAAAGTACCGAAGAAATTCAGTCACTTAAAAATTAAAGAAGCAAATACCTCGTTTGACCCAAGTATCAAATTAGTCAAGAATGTTGGAAGAACAGTGACTCAATTAGAATATTCAAGTGCTATAGGAAGTCTTATGTATGCAACACAGTGCACACGACCTGATACAGTATTTATAGTTAGTAAATTGAGTATATTTACTAGCAATCCAAATGTAGAGCATTGGAAGGCTATCGAAAGAGTTCTTGAGCACCTTAAACGAACAAAAGATTATGACCTATAATACTAAAAATTTCTTGCTATTTTAGAAGGATATACCGACACAAGTTGGAAATCGAGTTTCAGAGATAACAAATCTACTACTGGTTGGGTGTTCACCTTGGGAGATGGCGCTGTTTCTTAGAATAACAAGAAACAAACATGTATAACTTACTCAATCGGAATTTGTTGCTCTAGTAGAAATAGGAAAGGAGGTTGAATGGTTGAGGGACTTTCTATTAGAAATTTCATTGACTTCTAAGAGTGTGAATTTAATTTCTATACTGTGTGATAGTCAAGCCACTTTAGCTTGTGCGTATAGTGAAATATATAATGGAAAGTCAAGACATAAGTCTTAAGCATGCTTATGTAAGGAAATTAATCAAGATTGAGATTATTTCACTCACATTTGTGAAAATAAGTAAGAATTTGGTTGATCCGTTCACCAAACCTCTTACAAGAGAAGTTATAAAATCAGCATCAAAATGGATGGGGCTAAAACTCCTCAAATAAAAGATCCATCAATGATAACAACCTTACTCAATATTATGAAATGAGTAATAAAAAGTTTAAAAGATAAGAATAAGTCATTGACATATAGAGTAATTCAGCACTTTAAAATATTTTACAAGTCGCATCTAAGGATCTTTTGTTCAAAACCTAAGTAACAATCTAAAGAGAATAATTGAGATATAAGGATATAAGTAACAATCACAATATTCAAATTCTCTCCAAGTAATCACATGCAGTGTAGTACCACAAAGGTCTTTGTTCACAACATAGATTGAGGGGTCATTTAACGTGGACAATTGATTGCTTGTTGGAATTCTTCCTGACAAGTTGTTGTAAGACAGATTCAAGTGGCTCAGGAAGGTGAGAGTAGAAAAGCTAGAAGGAATATTTAATGTGAGACCCTTCATTGACAAGTCGAGTGATTCCAGCAGTCATGGAACCGATCTCCTTCCTGTCAAATGATTGTTGGACAAGTTAAGATATTGTATACCTGTAGACATATCCGAGAACCAAGCTGGAACTTTGCTCGCGGGTCCAACTCCAGATAGTTGAAGGCTTCTCAAATTAGTTTGGGTTCGAATTCACGTAGAAAATTTAGTTTCTATATGACAGAAGCTCATGTCAATAAATGAAGTATCAAAAGAGGGAAGCCAATTATCGGGTATAATCACATTGAAGGAGTTATAAGATACGTCTAAATGTTCCAAGTTTGTGAACCGGGAAAAGTGTGCTTTAGTGATGTCGCCTTCTGGTGAATTTGAGGAGAGGTCCAACCTGTACATTCCAGATAATTGACCAAATTAAATGGAATAATGCCATTAAATTTGTTGCCCTCAATACTTAAGTATGACAAGGCTGCTCCTCCAGTACAATTCGACGAACCATCAACTGTAAGCTCTCCATTGAAATTGTTAGAATTCAAACGCAAATCAGTTAAGTTGCACGAGCAACCTAAAGTCCTCGGCATCTGCCCTGCTAGGTGGTTACATGATATATCCAAGACCTGCAAGAGGTCGAGTTTGCCAATTGTTTCTGGTAGTTGCCCGGTAAAACCTGCAGAAGCTTGCCAATAGAATCATGAGACAGATGTAAAACCTGAAGACTTTGAAGATTGCCAATGTGTGCAAGGTTGCTAGCATTAGTGAGCCATCTTAGAATACTTGCATTACTTTTTGGTTGTATTGCTTATGTTTTGGTGAATTCATAAAATCATGACAAGCTTGATGAAAAATTAGAGAAATACATTTTAATTGGTTATTCTTTACAATCTAAAGCATATCGATTATATAACCCTGTTAGTGGCAAAGTTATTATTAACATAAATGTTATGTTTGATGAAAGGGCACGTTGGAATTGGGAGACCAATAAAAGTGAAACACAAATGCAGATTCCAACAGAACTAGACACTCCGCAGAATCAAGTGACAGATCCTGCTCCAACAAATTCATCGTTAACCTCACCCAATAGTAGTTCAAATTCGGATTCCTCATATGAAATCCCTCCAAGAAATTTCAGATCACTGACAGAAATTTATAACTCAATATTTGCTTTGTTTATTTCAGATCCGACAACTTTTGAGGAAGTAGTTAAAAAAGAGGAATGGAGAAAAGTAATGAAGGAGGAAATTAAGTCAATTGAGAAGAATGAAACTTGGGAGCTAATGGATCTACTGAAAGAAAAGAAAGCGATTGGGTTAAAATGGATGTTCAAAACAAAATTTAAATGCAAATTATTTGGTTTTATTGATACTGATTGTGCAGGAGGTTTAGATGATCGAAAGAGTACTTCAGGCAAGTGGAGCCATAACAATGAAGTATTATGGAACGGATGAACAAGTTGCGGATATCCTCACCAAATCACTTCCACTTCGAAAGCATATTTATTTTATGTCGCAAATTGGTGTATGCAACTATGAATCAAGGGGGAGTGTTGAGATCTGATTCATAGTTATCTATCTAGATTGTTATTATGATCTAGTGGTTACATGATGATTTCAATAACCACTTCAATCATGATCTAGTAGTTATAAGGTGGTTTCAATAACTACCTTATGATCTAGTAGTTATAGGGTGGTTATCACTAGGTCCTATAAATAGGACCGTAGTTCATCTAGCAAGATATAGAGATAGCAAGCAGAGAGAGATAGAGAGTTTGTGTGCATTTGGTATCTTGTAAGTGTTCTTATCAATCCTCGAGTTTTTAATACTACAACAGTTTTCTTGAGTCGAAAGGATTCTTTTTACTCGTATCGTAGTATTATGTTTTTCCTTGCTCCTCCATCCCCAACATGGAATTCAAGATAGTTGAAGGCTTCTCAAATTAGTTTGGGTTCGAATTCAAGTAGAAAATTTAGTTTCTATATGACAGAAGCTCATGTCAATAAATGAAGCATCAAAAGAGGGAAGCCAATTATCTGGTATAATCACATTGAAGGAGTTATAAGATACGTCTAAATGTTCCAAGTTTGTGAACCGGGAAAAGTGTGCTTTAGTGATGTCGCCTTATGGTGAGTTTGAGGAGAGGTCCAACCTGTACATTCCAGATAATTGACCAAATTAAATGGAATAATGCCATTAAATTTGTTGCCCTCAATACTTAAGTATGTATGACAAGGCTGCTCCTCCAGTACAATTCGACGAACCATCAACTACATCTGTAAGCTCTCCATTGAAATTGTTAGAATTCAGACGTAGATCAGTCAAGTTGCATGAGCAACCTAAAGTCCTCGGCATCTGCCCGGCTAAGTGGTTACATGATATATCCAAGAACTGCAAGAGGTCGAGTTTGCCAATTGTTTCTGGTAGTTGCCCGGTAATAGAGTCATGAGACAGATGTAAAACCTGAAGACTTTGAAGATTGCCAATGTGTGCAAGGTTGCTAGCATTAGTGAGCCATCTTAGAATACTTGCATTACTTTAGTTCTAATAACCAGAGAGATCGAGCATGACAATGGATGTCAACAGAAGACTACTAATAGCCACAAAAATTGCCAACAGAAGCTGCCATATAAAAGAACACAAAGAAAAGCATGTGTCGACATCCAATTAACGAGGCAATGTATTGAAAGGAAAGCGATAACAGAACGACGGTAGATAAAAAGTATTTGAAGAGATTAGAAGGAATGCATTACTTGATACTTCTTCCTTCTTTATTCTGACAGCATTGCATGATGATTACATACAACACTACTTGAAAGCAGCTTGTGACCTCAAGATGTAACAATAATCTCTTCGGCATACTTCATTCTGCTTGATTATAATGTCATAAAGACAACGGTAGGGATGACTGACTTGAACATATTGATTAGAACGACGGTAGATGAAGTTTTTGAACTGATTAGAACAAATACATACATACTAATGAAGCAAATGGCCATCAACTGCGATACCCTTTCCTTCTTTATTCTGACAACATTACACCATAACATATGAGCTGGAATTACTAACTGGAAAGCAACTTGAGACCTCCGTAAGATGTCACAGTAAACTCTTCAGTTCTTGCCACCGATGGATCAAGTCACTCTTTGCTGTTTGGACTTTAACGTTGCACATCCGACAGCCAACTGCACGTAGCACCAATTGCAAACCTCGTCGATTAATCGGAAGAAAGCAGTCCTTATGCTCTGTTTCATGATCATTGTGCTTATAAAACTCCAAAAACCAACCACAAAACCCATGACGATGCCGATAATTTCCCACACTGTTTCAAGCCTGTCACCGTTTTTCTCTTCCTGTTCATGAGGTGGACTTTGATAAGCTTCATCACCTGGGCACTCTGGCAGCGGCGTACCACAAAGGTATTCATTACCATCATAGATCGACAGGTCTCCAAGAAAGGTCGACATTTGACCACCGGCTGTTGGGATTCTTCCTGACAAGTTATTGTGAGAGAGATTCAAGTGGCTTAGGAAGGTGAGAGATGATAAGCTGGAAGGAATATCTCCGGTGAGATTGTTCATTGACAAATCCAGTGATTCCAGTTGTTCCATGGAACCAATCTTTTCTGGAATGGTTCCTCTCAAATGATTCTTAGATAAGTTCAAGAAAAGCAATCCATGAAGGTTCGTTAGCTCTCTTGGGATCTCTCCGGAAAGATTATTATTTGATAGGTCTATGCTTGTTACAAGTGAGAGAATTGTGGTGTATTGGATGTCAAATCCTTTCACCGTTATTACTATGCTCTCGACATAGTAACTACCAGCGTCAAGATGAAGCAATGACGTAGTATCATGTTGTATCTCAACCATAGCCCTACAATTTCCCAGAGATGAAGGTATGCTACCAGAAAGATTGTTGGAAGAAAGATCCAAAACCTGAAGAGAAGTAAGATTTGCTATATGCACTGGAATGGGACCGTAAAATAGGTTTGACTTCAAACAAAGAACTCTCAAGGATAAAAGGTTTTCTCCCACCCATGTTGGTATTTCATCATACAAATTATTTTCACCGAGACCAAGAGTAACTAATTGTTCACAATGTTTCAGGAACGAAGGAAATCTTCCAGATAGGTTGTTGTGGTTCAAATGCAGGGACTGTAGAGAAGTTGGAAAGGATTTATGGCAAGTTGGGACTTCCCCAGATAAATTATTGTTCGATAGGTCGAGGACTTGGAGATAATTAAAATTACAGAAAAAGGAAGGAAAACTGCCGTTGATATTATTATGAGATAAAGATAAAATTGCAAGATTCGAGGTATTTGCAAAACTCAATGGAATGGGTCCGACAAATGAGTTATTAGAGAGATCGATCACTTCATTGGCAGCAGAGGGTAGTGGGCCATTTAAGTTATTAGAACTCAAGTTAAGATTCGATAAACCTTTTGAGAAATCCGAAAACCAAGTCGGAAGGTTGCCTGAGAGTCCAACTCCAGATAAAGAAAGTTGTTCCAAACGTGATTGTGTATGAATCCAAGCAGGAAATTTGGTTCCCAGATGACATGAGTCCATGAAAATACTGTAGGCATTAAAAGGTGGAAGCCAATCATTAGGTAAGATCACATTCAAGGAGTTGTAAGAAATGTCCAATAAGGTTAAATCGGTGAGTTTGGAAAAGTGTGCTTCAGTGATGTTGCCTTTCAGTGAATTTGAGGAGAGGTCCAATTCACTTAATGCAGATAATTGACCCATACTTGAGGGGACAATTCCACTCAAATTGTTATATGATACATTCAAATATTCCAAGGTGTAGAGTCTGTCGAAGGTCTCTGGCATCTGCCCAGTAATAAAATTTTCAGATAAATCTAGAGATAGTATATTTTGGAGATTCCCAATACTTTCTGGTATCTGTCCTGAAATTTTATTTCCCGACAATCTCAAGCTCTCTAAGTTGATGATATTACCAAAAGTCATCGGTATACCTCCAGTTATACTGTTGTAAGAGAGATCCAAGTATTCTAAATTGGTGAGATTATCTATGATTTGTGGAATTTCTCCAGCAATATGATTGGATCTCAAACTTAAATATCGCAAGCTGCTTGTGAAATTTTTCACCATTTCTGAAATATCTCCATCGAGCTCGTTACCATCTAATGCAAGATACTCCACGGGGCCAAGACTCCATAAGATTTGTGTAATATCTCCACTTAATGAATTTCCACTCAAATCCAAATGCTTTAAGCTCTTGCTCACATTCATTACTATTCCAAGAATTTCTCCTTTCATACCATTGTATTGCAAATTAAGTTCTTTCAAATTACTCAGAGCTCCCAGAGTGATTTGTAGTGACTCAATATCGACACCTTTGCAGCTAGCAAGATCGAGATATACAAGGCTGCTAGCATGAGAGAGCCATCTTAGAATTGTTGTATTCAAGTTCAAATATCCAGAGATATCCAACTTGACAATTGAAGTCAGATTAAAAGGGAACGAAGGAGATGAAACATATGGGAGGTTTGCCCACTTCAAGTGCAATACTTTAAGACTATGGATTGAATTAACTTGATGAAGCCAATTAGTTGCTTTAGAGAGGTTGACAAAACTCATATCAACATATATTAGAGAAGAAATCCGGGAAAGCCAATCAAGGTCATCAGCTCGTAGATCACTAAGTCTACATCCTTTGATATCGAGGTAGTGTAGGTTGGAGAGGTTCCCCAGTTGTGGAGGTATTAGTCCATCAAACATAGCATTGGATAGGTTAAGATATTCCAAGTGCATAAATGAAGCAATCATGAGGGGCACGTTTGCGCCAAAAAAGTTATTCATGCTCAAATCCAGATGTTTCAGATACTTCAGATCATGCAAAGCAGGATTTACCTTGCTCGCACCCATCCCTTCCAGCATGAAGCAAATGTCATCCTCGTCATCCCAATCGTCTGTGAGAGGATAGCGGAGGTCGAGCTCGATGACATGGTTGGTGGTGTTGTCGCAGGCCACTCCTCTCCAACGACAACAATCTTCACCGATCCAAGAAGAGAACCTTTCGTTGGAGTGGTACATATCAGATCTAATGGCAAGGAGAGCTCTCCTCTCACTCTCTACGCAGCTTCTCCCCTCCGTCCCGAGACGATCAACATGATCGTCTCTGACATGGCCGAGACAACAAGAGATGACTCCAAAGCTCATAATTACGGCTATGAGTACGATGACATGCTTTGGAAAAATAGATTCACCCTTGCAGCCACCGTTAGCAGCCATTTGAGTAAACTTTCCGCGATGAGGAAGTTGAAGGTGTGAGGTTGGAAGGTGGCTCCATACATACATTTATTATAGAATGACAATGAACGGTACTTGAGGACCTTTTCAATCTCAACGATCCGTGTCGTTGACATGATGTTCCCGCACTCCAACGTTTACTGACGTGATAAGTGGTTTGGAATGGGCTGGCGAATCTTCCTCGTTGATTCTTCCAACCATAATGATGAGGCTCTTTGTGAAGGATGTGACATATGAAATAAAAGTTTCCTTTATATGATAATTGATAACAAGTGGTGTTATGTGTAAAGGGAGTACTTAAATTACACTTGGACAACGATGTGATCATTACTGGTTAGTAATTGAACCGATGAGTTAATCTGATTGAATGAATATTTAATACAAATATCCAATATTATATATATATATATATAAGTTTTAAATATGAATATTTATTATCTGAAACTATTACAAGAAAGCAACTGAGTCCAAGTCTTTGATGTCACTCAAGATCTTTTGTTGTTAACATTCTAGAAGGCATCAATGAGTTGTGGAGTGATCACTATTAAGCATAGGATTTTATAGTATTTTATTATACTCTAAAATTAGTTTAGTTTCGATATATCTCAAGAATAATTATTGTAGGTATGAGGTTTTTACACTCTGAAGCATTTGTGGTATGGTTACAATACAAGTCAAAGTCAAACAGATATTTATCTTGTATCTCTTGAATGGTAGTAGTGATATGTTCTAATGAGATGATAAATGGATTGAATTTTTGGATCTTCCTAGCACACCGTGTCAAGAAATGTCACTGTCAATGTTTCATATGTGTGGGTTTTCCTATTCGTAATTTCATGTTCGTTTTTTTTGAAGTAGACAACTTTCATTGAATTAGAAATAAATTATACAATTATTTGTAATATATATATATATATATATATATATATTTTTTTTTTTAGAAAATAAAAATAAATCTTTTAAAAAAATATTCTCTTCTCAAGTATTCAATCATTAGAGTGACTTTGCCATGATTTTTGGATAGAAAGAAGTGTGACTGAGACATGAGAAAAAGAATCAGCGCATGATTCCAACATTTAAGTTGAGGAGGATCCAAACTTTCATCCTTCCAAAAATGTAATATCATCCTTAACTAATTATTTCTTAATTAGTTGACTATTGTAAGTGTTCCAATGTACGCACTAAGAGTCATGACTAAAGGTGACACAATCAACGTTGGAATAACATTAATCAATGCATGTCAATTGGATTTTCATAGCCCCACTTTGACATGTCGCGTTGAGAATTCTAGTGACGTGTTGAATGGTTTGATGGGGGATGAAATGAAACTAGCGAGTCTTTTGTGCAAAAAGTCTCAAAAGTTGATTTTATCTTTTGAGCATTTCTTGATGTCCCATTCTAACTCATCCCGTCAAGGGGGCAAAGAGAGAGATCACTGTTTTCTTATCGAGCATGCGCACCTTCCTCTCTCTTTCCTTCTGTTTGTTTTTTATTTGTCTTCTTTAATGTATAAGTAATAAGTATATACGTTTCTATTTTTATTGGATACGTATAAGCAATATTTTGATAGAACATTGTAACTCATTTCTTTTTTGACTTCTCGTATTTCCATAATTTATTGAGTGAATTTTTTCATGTCATATAATGTTGGCAATCCTAAAGAAATACCTAATAAATAAGGGAATTGGGTGAAGATAGATAATAAATAAAAAAATAAAAGAGAGAAAAATATTAATTTAAGGGGGAGGGATTTGAAATATTCTTGTGACTTACGTTGTTGAAATATACAAATCTTTATTGTAAATTAGTTTTAGAGAGGAGAAAAGAGGAACGAATGTAGATGATAGTTTTGGACTCGTTAAGTCTAATGAACCAATGGAATGATTTGGAGAAGAATTTTTTTTTTAAATACTAAAGCGATGAACGCTTTATTTTATTCTCTAGATAAAAATGAATTCAATCGGATTTCTATTTCACATTTGGCACACTCTTGAAATCACACATGAAGGTACTAATAAAATTAAAGATTCAAAAATTAATCTTTTAATTTATAATTTTGAATTATTTCGTATGAAGCTAATCTTTTAAGTCAAGTGAAACTATTGTTGATATGTATACATGTTTTATGGATGTCATCAATAGTTTAAAAGTTCTTGACAAATATTTTTCTAATCTAAAATTATGAACTCATATTACTCATATGTTTTATAAAAAATAATACTATTATCATGATCCCATTATAATTCTCAGTTTTTTACATAGGTAAAAAAAAATGAAAACAAAGTAATTAACAAAGAAGAAAATGAAATTGCATCAAGATGATTCAATATGTTTTACTTGGTCATATTTTGATAAAACAAGCTTCTAGAATTGTATTATAAAATAATTTCCTTCTTTATATATCATGTTCTTCCTTTCTTATAAGATGATAATTCTTTTTGTCTTTTCTTTTATTTATGTTTTTCTTCTTATTTACTGGCAATCTTGAAATAAGATCATAAATATGCAGGATATTGTCATGTGAAAATACAAATATATCAATTGAACCCGAACTTGAATTAACTATCAATTCAAATGATTTTAGTAGGTCTTTTTTATTTTCACATATGGCAAATGTGGCCTGATTTCCACCGTGTGAAATTCAATGATACTGGCATAAATCATGGATTGAGATATAGGAAAAGAATCAATTGTAAATTTCTTAACTGGTTATATGTATATATACATATATATGTATATATATGTATATGTATATATATATGTATATGTATATGTATATGTATATGTATATGTATATATATATATATATATATTTATATGTATATATATGTATATGTATATTATAACTAATCAATCAATCTCAAGCACCCCAGTGAGGTTCTCACACTCCAACATTTAACCAATACAGTCATGACTTTATGAATGAGTTGGAATGAGATTGACAAATCTTCCTTGTTGACTCTTGAAATCTTAATTGGGATATGAAATATGATTGTGACTATATCTCAGGACTAGTTCTTGGTATGAGGTTTTTCAACTCTAAGATATTTATGGTGTGGTTACAATGAAAGTCAAAGTCAAGTAAATATCTATGTTTGTTTGATGGAAGTCAAAGTCAAAGTCAAAGTCAAGTCAAACTCCATTGATTTATCTTCTTAACGTATCATATCAAGTGAACAAGAAATGAACGGTTATACTTGCATCTTTTCCTATATGTACTTTCATATTTAATTAATTTTTATTTATATAAAAAAATTAAGTTTTTAGAAAATAATTTTAGTATCGACCCTGTCCTTTAGCACACACAAATGGAACCACCAATAATAATAATAATAATAATAATAATAATAATCTCTTCTCATATATTTAATCATCTTCGGGTTAGGTTTCCCATAGTTATTTGATTAATTAATGGAAAAAAAGTGATTGAGATATAAGGGAAAAAAAATAGATGATTCTAATATATAAGTTGGGAAGGGTTCAAACTATAATTCTATGGTGGTTTGAAGGAGGGAGCTAGAGTGAATCAGACGAGTCTTCCTGCAAATAAGTCTCGGAAGTTGATGTCGTCTATAATCCTCTCTTGATGTTTTAACTCGCTCGATCAAGGGGGAAAGAGAGAGTCTACTGTTTGATTGCCTAGCATGCCGATCCTCCTCTCTCTTGCCTATTGTCTGCTTTATCTTTATCCTCATTAATACATAATTAATATGTATATCTATTTTTATTTTTATTGGATATGTATAAATAATATTTTGATAGGACCACTACAACTCATGCATTGACTAAATTTTTTTTATATGTCATACACCAAAAGAGAATTCTTAATATATGAGAGAATTGGATGGGGTGGACAGTAAAAAGGAAAAAAACTAAAATGGAGACGAAACCAAATATTTTGATTTTTAGAAATATTAGTTCGAGTAATAAAAAATACATAAAATAAAATCCAATTTTGTGAAGGAATAATAAATGTACGAATAAAATACCCAATCGTCATGAATCACGACTTAAATAACGTATATGATTGCAATTTATAGCTTTATTTTAAGAACTTGATGCCTTGTTAATTTTTAGTAACACTGGAAATGTTTGGATGCGAAATGTTATTCTTATGGATATTATAATGCTGGAAATTAAACTAAATTAAACATTATCCAATTAATATAAATAGTTCCGATGTCCGATTGGCAGACAATTTGACCATATTACATCATTGATGTCTATTGAAGCTAAAATAATAGTCGACATAAGCTGCCAAAAGAAAATATAGGAAATGAAAGAAAATAAAAAAAAGAATAATAATCTTTCCTAAGCAAATAAGAACTGTAACATTCATGCAAGGTTTGAATTAATATAAATATTACTGCAAAACAGATAATGACTCGATGATTACTGTAACATTCATTCAAAGAGCCTTAAACATTTACATTAACTGCTAAAAAAAGAGATAAAGATTGAAAGTAGACTAATAACTAGTATTGCATTGATAAGAATGCAAAGAGCTGAACGATATATACTTCAGAATTGAGCTTTTAAATTGCATTATATAAGTCCTGATCATTTAAAGTTCTTTGCAGAATGGTTACATAGGCTTATCATTTAAGATTGATGTGCTTACAGAGAATTGATATCTTAGATTGATGTGCTGTCATTCTGAATCATTCGGTGATAATAGTTGCATGACATGTGGATTTGTGGAGAAGTTTACGCCCCCATGACCCTCAACGAGGGAGCTGCAATTAAAGATAGAGAAATGGGCCTCTGCTTCACACGAACTTAAGATAGTGTCTGAGCTGCTAAGGTAATATGTATATCGCAATTGTTTGAAGCTTTAAAGCTCCAGAATGATCACAGTTGGACATGCACAATATACCGAAACTATACTAATAACATAACATCATAATACATAGAACACCAGAAACTGTCCAGTCCTTTTGCTGATAGCATTACATGATATAACATTTGGGCGACTTGGTGGAAAGGACCGTATGATCTCAAGCTGTAATAGTAAATGTGTCACCCAAGTTTCCTGCGACAGTTCATGTGGTTCTTCTCGATTTGGACTTCAGCCTTGCAAAACTTACTGCCAACTGCACGAAGACCCAATCACCAGTCTTATCTGTCAAACGGAAGAGAGCAACCCTTAGAGACTGTTTCATGATCATTATGCCAAAACAACTCCAAAACCCCACCACGAATCCCATGACGATGCTTGTAATTTCTAAGACTCCTTCAAACTCGCCATCACTGTATTCTCCTTCTTCTTCAATTGCTGCAGGAGGTAGGCTTCGATAAGCAACATCTCCAGGGCACACAGGCAGTGGCTTACCACAAAGGTCTTTGTTGCCAACATAGATTGAGGGGTCATTTAACGTGGACAATTGATTGCTTGTTGGAATGCTTCCTGACAAGTTGTTGTAAGATGAGACTCGAGTGGCTCAGAAAGGTGAGAGTAGAAAAGCTACAAGGAATATTTCCTTTCAAATGATTGTCGGACGAGCTAAGATATTGTATACCTGTAGACATATCCGAGAACCAAGCTGGAACTTTGCCCGCGACTCCAACTCCAGATAGTTGAAGGCTTCTCAAATTAGTTTGGCTTCGAATCCAAGTAGGAAATTTAGTTCCTATATGACAGAAACTCATGTCAATAAATGGAGCATTAAAAAGGGGAAGCCAATTTGAAGGAGCTGTAAAGATATGTCCAAAATTTCCAAGTTGAAGGAGCTGTAAAGATATGTCCAAAATTTCCAAGTTGAAGGAGCTGGGAAAAGTGTGCTTCAGTGATGTCGCCTTCTAGTGAGTTTGAGGAGATGTCCAACCTGTACATTCCAGAAAATTGACCCAAATTAGATGGAATAATGCCATTAAATTTGTTGCCCTCAATACTTAAGTATGACAAGGCTGCTCCTCCACGACAACTCGGCAAACCTAAAGTCCTCCGCATCTGCCCTGATAAGTGGTTGATCTGATATATCCAAGAACTGCAAGAGGTCGAGTTTGCCAATTGTTTCAGGTAGTTGCCCGGTAACAGAGTTACGAGACAGACGTAAAACCTGCAGACTTTGAAGATTGCCAATGTGTGCAAGGCTTCTAGCATTAGTGAGCCTTCTTAGAATACATGCATTACTTGAGTTCTAATAACCACAGAGATCGAGCATGGCAATGGATGTCAACAGAAGACTACTAAAAGCTACAAAAATTGCCAACAGAAGCTGCCATATAAAATAACACAAAGAAAAGCATGTGTCGACATCAAATTAACGAGGCAATGTATCGAAAGGAAAGCGATAACAGAACGACGGAAGATAAAAAAGTATTTGAAGAGATTAGAAGGAATGCATTACTTGATACTTCTTCCTTCTTTATTCTGACAGCATTGCATGATGATTACATACAGCATTACTTGAAAGCAGCTTGCGACCTCAAGATGTAACAATAAGCTCTTCAACATACTTCTTTCTGCTTTATTATAATGTCATAAAGACAACGGTAGGGATGACTGACTTGAAAACATATTGATTAGAACGACGGATGATGAAGTTTTTGAACTGATTAGAACAAATACATACATACTAATGAAGCAAAAGGCCATCAACTGCGATACCCTTTCCTTCTTTATTCTGACAACATTACACGATAACACACGAGCTGGAATTACTAACTGGAAAAGCAACTTGAGACCTCCTTAAGATGTAACAGAAAACTCTTCGGTTCTTGCCACCGATGGATCAAGTCACACTTTGCCGTTTGGACTTTAACCTTGCACATCCGACTGCCAACTGCACGTAGCACCAATCGTAAGCCTTGTCGAAAAATCGAAAGAACGCAATCCTTATGCTCTGTTTCATGATCATTGTTCCAACAAAACTCCAAAAACCAACAACAAAACCCATGACGATGCTGGTAATTTCCCACACTGTTTCAAGCCTGTCACCGTTTTTCTCTTCGTGTTCATGAGGTGGACTTTGATGATCTGCTTCACCAGGGCACTCTGGCAGTGGCGTACCACAAAGGTATTCATTACCATCATAGATTGACGCGTTGAAGGTCGACATTTGACCACCGGCTGTTGGAATTCTTCCTGACAAGTTGTTGTGAGAGAGATTCAAGTGGCTTAGGAAGGTGAGAGATGATAAGCTGGAAGGAATATCTCCTGTGAGATTGTTCACTGATAAGTCAAGTGATTCCAGTTGTTCCATGGAACCAATCTTTTCTGGAATGGTTCCTCTCAAATGATTCTTGGATAAGTTCAAGAAACGCAATCCATGCAGGTTTGTTAGCTCTCTTGGGATCTCGCCGGAAAGATTATTATTTGATAGGTCTATGCTAGTTACAAGTGATAGAATTCTGGTGTATTGGTTGTCAAAACCTTTGACTGTTATTACTATGCTCTCGCCATAGTAACCGCCATCAACAAGATGAAGCAACGATGTAGCATCATGTTGTATCTCAACCATAGCCCTACAATTTCCTAGAGATGAAGGAATGCTACCAGAAAGATTATTGGAAGAAAGATCCAAAACCTGGAGAGAAGTGAGATTTGCTATATGCACTGGAATGGGACCATAAAATAGGTTTGACTTCAAACTAAGAACTCTCAAGGATAAAAGGTTTTCTCCCACCCATGTTGGTATTTCATCAAACAAATTATTTTCACCAAGATCAAGAGTAACCAATTGTTCACAATGTTTCAAGAAGGAAGGAAATCTTCCGGATAGGTTGTTGTGGTTCAAATGCAAGGACTGTAGAGAAGTTGGGAATGATTTATAACACTTTGGGATTTTTCCAGATAAATTATTGTTTGATAGGTCGAGGACTTGGAGAGAATTAAGATTGCAGAAAAAGGAAGGAAAACTGCCGTTGATATTATTATGAGATAAAGATAAAATTGCAAGATTCGAGGTATTTGCAAAACTCAATGGAATGGGTCCATCTAATGAGTTATTAGACAGATCTATACGTATCCCCCGACCTTTTAAGATATCTGGAAACCAAGTTGGAAGGTTGCCTGAGAGTCCAACTCCAGATAAAGAAAGATCCTCCAAATATGTTTGCGTTTGAATCCAAGCAGGAAATTTAGTTCCCAGATGACATGAGCTCATGATAATACTGTAGGCATTAAAAGGTGGAAGCCAATCGTTGGGTAGAATCACATTCAAGGAGTTGTAAGATATGTCCAATTGGGTTAAATCGGTGAGTTTGGAAAAATGTTCTTCGGTGATGTTACCTTCCAGCAAATTTGAGGAGAGGTCCAATACTTGTAATGTAGATAATTGACCCATACTTGAGGGGACAATCCCACTCAAACTATTGTCATTAACAAATAAATATAAATCTCTTTCTCCATTACAATCAGATAAATCATCAATCAGATCTGATAGCTCTCCACCAATATTATTATAGGATAAAAATATGAGAGTCAAATTGCATAATTTACTCAAAGTCCCAGGTACTAACCTTGTCAAGTGGTTAGATGATACATCCAAATTTTGCAAGTTGTATAGTCTATTGAAGGTCTCTGGTATCTGCCCAGTAATAAAATTATCAAATAAATCTAGAGATTGCATATTTTGGAGATTCCCAATAGTTTCTGGTATTTGTTCTGAAATATTATTTCCTGACAATCTTAAGCTCTTCAAGTTGCTAAGATTACCAAAATTCACTGGTATACCTCCAATAATATTATTGTATGAGAGATCCAAATATTCCAAATTGATAAGATTCCCCACGGTTTGTGGAATTTCTCCAGCAATGTGATTGGAACTCAAACTTAAATATCGCAAACTATTTGTGAAATTTTCTACCATGTCTGGAATATATCCATGAAGCTCATTATCATCTAATGCAAGGTACTCCAGAGGTCCAAGACTCCACAAGACTTGTTCAATATCTCCACTTAATGAATTCCAACTCAAATCCAAATGCTTCAAGCTCCTGCTCACATTCATTACTATTCCAAAAATATCTCCTTTGATAAAATTATGTTGCAAATCCAATGCTTTCAAATTACTCAGAGCTCCTAGAGCCATTTGTAGTGACTCAATATCGATACCACCACAGTTAAAAAGATCAAGATATGCAAGGCTACTAGCATGAGAGAACCATCTTAGAATTGCTGGGTAAAAATTTAGATAATGAGAGATATCCAACTTGACGATTGAAGTCATATTAAAAAGGGGCAAAGGAGATGGAATATATGAGAGGCTTGCCCACCTCAAGTGCAATACTTCAAGACTGGGAATTGAATTAACTTGATGAAGCCAATTTGTTGCTTTAGAGAGATTGACAAAACTCATATCAATATACTTAAGAGAAGGAATTCTGGAGAGCCAATCAAGGTCATCAGCTCGTAGAGCAGTAAATCCACATCCTCCAAGATCGAGGAAGTGTAGGTTGGAAAGGTTCCCTAGTTGAGGAGGTATTAGTCCACCAAACATGGCATTAGATAGGTTAAGATATTCCAAATGCACAAGTGAAGCAATCATGTGGGGCACGGGGGCGTCGGAGAAATTATTCATGCTCAAATCCAGATATTTCAAATGCCTCAGATCACGCAAAGCAGGATTTACCTTGCTCGCACCCATCCCTTCTAACATGAAGCACATATTGTCCTCGTCATCCAAACCATATGTGTAGAAATTGTAAGTGTCAAGATAGTGGAGGTCGAGCTTGATGACATGGCTGGTGGCATTGTCGCAGGCCACCCCTCTCCAGCTACAGCAATCTTCACCGATCCAAGAAGAGAACCTTTCGTCGGAGTCGAACATATCGGATCTGATGGCTAAGAGCGCTCTCCTCTCGCTCTCTATGCAACCTTTACCCTCCGCCCTGAGACGATCATCACGATCACCTTCGCCATGGCCGAGACAACAGGAGATAACTCCAAAGCTCATAATTACGGCCGTGAGCATGGTGACATGCTTTGAGCAAATAGATTTGCCCTTGCAGCCACCGGTAGCAGCCATTGAGCAAGCTTTCAGAGATGATGGAGTTTAAGGTGTGAGGTTGGAAGGTGGCTCCATACATACATTTATAGAATGATACTGAACGTTCCTCGAGGGCTGATCAATCTCAAAGACCGGTGTTGTTGACATACCCGTTCCCGCACTCCAACATTCATTGACGTGATAAATGGTTTGGAATGGGCTGGCGAATCTTCCTCGATGTTTCTTGCAATCCTTATTCTCGACTCATAGCAAAGGATGTGACAAGTGGTGTTAAATATAGAGGCCGTACTTAAATTACAGTTGAACAACGATGTGATCATTACTAATCAGTAATTGGACCGACGAGTTAATCTGATAGAATGAATAATTAATATAAATATCTAAAATTATACATATATGTATATGTATATATATATATATGTTTTAAATATGAATAATTATTATCTGAGAATATTACAAGAAAGCAACTGAGTCCAAGTCATCAGGTCATTTAAATTAAATATTTTGTTGTTAACATTCTAAAAAGGTGGAAATGAGTTGTGGAATGACCACAGCTAAGCACAGTATTTTATAGATTTTTTATACTATAAATTTGTTTAATTTGGATATATCTCAAAAATAATTATTGTGGGCATAAGGTGATTGCACTATGAAGCATTTATGATGTGATTATGATACAAGTCAAAGTCAAACAAATATCAATCTTTTATCTCTTGGACGGTAGTGGTGACCTGTTCTAATGAGGTGATAAATGAATTGATTTTTTAGATCGATTTCCTAACGTGACAAAGTGGACAAGAATTGTCTGTCAATGTTTCATATATGTGGGTTTTTCTATTTGTAATTTCATGTTCAATTTTTTTTTTTAAATAGACAACTTTCATTGAATTAGAAAAAACATGTTCAATTATTTGTATATATATAAAAAAAAAATTTAGAAAATAGAAATAAAATTAAAAAAAATATTCTCTTATCAAATATTCAATTTTTAGAGTGATTTTTGGATCAATTAAAGAAAGAAGAGTGATTGAGATATGAGAAAAAGAATCATCGGATGATTTCAACATTGAAGTTGAGGAGGATCCAAACTTCCATCCATCAAATATAAAAAAAAAAATCCATCCTCAACCAAGTGTTTCCTATTTAGTTGACCAGTCAATAGGGGTTAGTTTTGCTCAATTATATCATTGTACGTATTCCGATGTACACATTAAGAGTTATGACTAAAGGTGGCACAATCAATATTAGAATAACATACCTCTGGTCATGGCAATTGGATTTTCATACCCCAATCAATATTAGAAGTCTCATGACGAGCGGTTTGATGGGGGATGGAATAAAACTAACGAGTCTAAATCTCGGAAATTAATTTTGTCTTTTGATCATTACTTGATGTCTCATTCTAGCTCAACCCCTTAAGGGGGAACGAGAGAGGTCACTATTTACTTGTCTGAGAATCTTCCTCTTTTTTTTTTTTTTATCTTTATTAATGCATAACTACTAAGAATATTCATTTCTATTTTTATTGGATAGGTATAAATAATATTTTGATAGAACGTCTCTATTGACTGAATTTTTTTTCATCTCATGTGATGAGGC